CTGGGGGAATTCTTTCTTGGCTGGGGAGTAGTGGTAAAACACCCCAGTGGGTATATTTTGTAATATATATGCTTCCTAGATCATTCTGATAAATATTTTCCTGCAAAAGTGTGTTAAAAGCTGGGAAGTATTATGGATTCCCATATAAAAATATTTTTCCCAGCTAGGTGCTGTGACACATGCCTCAACTCTGGAGGCCAAGGCAGAGGATTGCAAGTTCAAAGTCAACCTCAGCAACTTAGTGAGGCCCTAAGCAACTTAGTGAGACCCTGTCTTAAAAAAATTATGTGTGTGTATGTGTGTGTGTGTGTGTGTGTATGTGTGTATTCCTCACAGTTGGGCACAGATGTGTACCTGTAGTCTCAGCTGTCTAGGAGGCTGAGGCAGGAAGGTCAGCTTGAATTATATAACAAGACCCTATCTCAAAAAATTTTCCACAGTGTTCTTTTCAGATGATGTAATAAACTTACACTTGGTGATGCCATACAATGGAATATTATATATGCAGTCACTAAAATTATCTTTCTAAAAAACAGTTAATGACATTGAAAGTGTTTACAACTTAATTATAATTTTTAAAAATCTCTTATGGGAAGAAATACACTAAAATATTAAAGGCTAGTATCTCTAGCTATGAAGTTTGCTGATGATTTTCTTTTTTCATATTTTATTCTGTACTTTTCAAATTGTCTCAAAGTGAATAAACTTATAGATGCTTCTTAGTGCACATGTGCAAGTATTTCTCCAAGGTACTTACCAAAAAGGGGGAATCAAACTATGCATATTGTATATCTTAATAATCAATAACAAATTGTCCTCAAAAACGGTTTTATTAATCATGCTATCATTAAAGGATGAGTTTTCCCAATCCTTGCCAACACTTACTATGATGTTATTAAATTTTTGCTAATTTTAAGAGAAAAAATTATTTTAATCTATACCTATTTACTGAATTTCAACATTTTTCATGCTTATCTCTGTCATTTGCATTTCCTCACTTCTCAATTGTTTTTTTCATGCCTCTTTTTTTCTATATGATTTTTTCTTAGTGATTTATGGTGTTATTTTTATATTTTGGATATTGGTTTTTCAGAATATGGGCTTCAAAATTTTTCTGCCAGCTTGTACCAGCTTGCCACTTGTGTTTTATTGAACAGAGTTCTCAATTTTGATATCATCATATTTTTCTTAGTTTCGTATTGGTTTGTTTTGGTACTAGAAATTGATGTTCTACTACTGAACTTCATCCCCATTTTTTTTTTTGTACTTTGAGACGGAGTCTCACTGAGTTGCTCAGGCTGGCCTTGAATTTGCACTCCTCCTATCTCAGCTCCGAAGTAGCTGGGATTGTAGGTAGGTGGCTGCCACACCCAGCTCAAATATTTTTCTTTATGGCCCTGTGCTTTGAAGCCCTATCCTATCCCATAGTCTATATTAAAAATTTTTTTTTTAGCTTTTTAAACATTTTCAGCTCTTTAATCCATTTGGAAATTAATTTGTAAATGGTGTGAGGTTGTTACTGATCAAATTTGTTTTTCAAGTGAATAATTATTTATTATCTTGCTTTATAGACTTGAAATACTATTTTCCTAATATATGATATTCTCATACAGTCACATGGGACTGTTTCTGTTCCCTATCTCATCATCTCAACATAGTAAAAATTTATTTCTGGATTGATTGATTAATTGATTATTTGGTGCCAGTGTCGCTTAACCACTGAGCCACATCCCCTGCCCTTTCTTGTTTTTATTTTGACACAGGGTCTCACTAAGTTGCTTAGGGCCTAGCTAAATTTCTGAGGCTGACTTTGAACTTGTGAGTCTCCTGCCTCAGCTTCTCAGGCTCTTGGGATTACAGGCATGTGCCACCATACTTGGCTTGTTCAGGGTATTTTAGACGTCTTAAATCAAAGCTGTTACTGACTTTTGTTGCTAGCTAGTTACCAGTGGCAGGGACCACATAAAAATCAAATGTGAATGCATGGAAAATAAAAACATCAAAATGAACAAAAACTTGAGTGAATAAAGACCATGATGAGAGAGAATAAAATACTTGTGTTTTTATGCATCCAAAAGTCATAATATCAAGCCTCTGCATTCACTATATCATCTAGTGCATTCACTATATCCTTTGGGTTGTTTCTGCTACCTCTACTCTTTATATGGATGATAGAGAAGTTTCTTTACATGATAATTGAAATAACAGAAAAGAAAAATACTATTAGGGATTATAGTAATGAATAACAGAAAAGTATCATATTACTTGGAGGCTGGTAAGCATTAAAAAGAAAACTGAACAAATAAGTGTTTAAAGTAAAAAATCACAATACACAGTATAAACTTTAAATCTAACCAATGTACACAATATGATTATACTCAAAATTGTATCTTTTTCATAGTAAAGCTAACATTACACAAGTAGGAAAAGCTGTCATGTGGGCAAATGTGGTTTTAAGTCAACAGTTAATTCAATTATTTACAATAAATTTAGGTGTTCCTGGTTGAAAAGTCATGTTGATGGGGCAGGGTGATTGTTAAGGGACTTGTGTTTAATGCAGTGTGACCAAAGTTTCAGGGCTCAGTAAACAGGAATAGGCAATAAAATCTTTTAATAACCACTTACACAGAAACATCCTATTTTTTTTAATGGAGGCAAAAAGTGAACATTGTGATTAACTGATCTCCTTTTAACTCACCAGTTTATAATTAGTTGTCTTATATTATAAGCTGACTTTTTCCCATTAAAGCAACTATTGAGCAAGTTCTAAGAAGCAGCTTCAAGAAGTACAACAAGCTTACTAGACAGTCATTTCTTCCCTTGCTTATATTAGGTTATCATTGGGGATAACCATTAACTACATAATAGACTTACCATTAGCATATCAAATGAAAGATTTAGTTTCTAAAATGGTAACTCACATATTTTTGTACTCTGGTTGTCTCTACTGAATTTGCATTGTAAAATGACCATAACCAGCATCTTCATGAAAGCTACCAACCATTGTTTTAAAACAAACTTTTTTTGTAAACCTGAAAGTATAGTTTTTGGAAAACCAAAAAGAAAAAATAGCAGAACATTTTTTTTTAAAACTTTTTTTTTTTTTTTTTTTTAAAGAGAGTGAGAGAGAGAGAATTTCAACATTTATTTTTTAGTATTTGGCAGACACAACATCCCTGTTTGTATGTGGTGCTGAGAATCGAACCCGGGCCGCACGCATGCCAGGCGAGCGCGCTACCGCTTGAGCCACATCCCCAGCCCCAAGCAGAACATTTTTTATATACTTTGCTGAATAATATGAATTGTACAGCAACAATCCTCCGAGTGGAGATCATCTAGATAAATTGTGCTAACGAATTTTCTATCTAGCTGCTTCGAAAACTACTTTCTCAGCGTAGTCCGCAGCTACCTGTGCGTTTCTGAGCTCGCTCCATAGCGGGCGCTGACGAGAAGCTGCAGCGCATCCACGCTCTGATGCGGTTGCGTACGTTTAAGCGCTTCCCGCTCTTACCGGCTGGGCTAAAACTTCAACTGCCACCTGACTCACAAGTCTGGTTTTCTACTCTGTCTGGTGCCCCCTGGTGCTCAGCACCTGCACAACCTTGGGTAGTTGCAAGGAGCAAAGGGGTCCAAGGAGTGCAAGGATGCTTTGAGGAAAAGCATTCCATTTACTGTGAACCCTATGGATCCAGATTTCCTGAGTCCACTGCCTTGGCATAAATTACATATGTACATTCGTGCAGCTCGAGAGGGGGTGGATAGATAGATAGATATACATACCAAGTCCCTAAGTAAAAGAAAGCTGAAAAATAAGTTTCAACCAACTACAGAGGCAGAAGTCAACTCAGCCCTTTCAAGTTTGTAGACCAGACACGAGGATACATGGACTTTATCTTCTTCGAACCCATCTCCCCGCCCCCGCACCGGTCCCGTCCATTCTTTTTCGGGAAAGCAGAGTTCACTATGATCCTGGATCATAAGAGAGCCCATCTGAATATCCGTTTGGGGGTTGGAGCTGAGAATGCGGCCTGTGGAGGAGAGAGGATGGAAGATAATTCTTCCTGTCTTCTTCCCTAATTAATTTACTCAATATTAATCTCATGTGTAACCTTCGGAAAGTTTTCTATGGGTGGGTTGACCCCTCTTCTTCACTAGTTCAGGCTCTAGTTATCCTCCTTTGCCCTTCCCCTCCACCCCTCCACCCCTGATCACTCAACACTACTGAGTCTCTTTCCATTAAAGATGAACAACAGATAATTTTTCATTGCATGGAAAGCCTAAAAGCTCTCTTATAGCAGAGCATGATGGGAGCCTCTCCCCTTGTTCTCCATCCCTCTTCTTTCTTCTTCTTCCCTTCTTTTCACAATTTGTTCCTAAATAATGCTTTTCCTAGCAAGCGCTGACTTTAGGATAGGCTTGTGACAGACGACCCACGATGACTCTCCCGTCAGGCTTCCAGAAGAGACGGTTTCCAAAGAAAACTACAACTCCCAGGAGGCATCAGGCTAAAGCAGCCGCAGGGTATTACGGAAGTCGTAGGCGCCTTTTGCCTCAGTCTCTCTGGCGTCTCCCGCTTGCAACTACACGTCCCAGGGCGCCTCAGGACTGGAACGCCTGCGCGAGAGCCCTGGGCACGGTGGGGGTGGGGCCGCCCCGGGCGGCGGGGGGCGGGGTCCGAGCGGGTTGTGTGGAGGCTTCAGACTCCGGCGCCATTTAGCGCGGAGAGTTTCCCGGGCGGACGCTGCTGTTCTTCTTCGGCCACTCGTACCCCCATCTTCGGTGACAGAGGCGCCTGGTGGGGGTGACTGTTCTTTTCTCTTCCTATCCCCTTCTCCCAGTCTTCTCGGTCTCCTCTACTCTTGGCCCAGAGAAGCAGCGGAGCTCGGGCCCGCGGTGAGCGGCCCTCCCCTCCCCACCGTTCCCTCCCTCCGTCAGCCCCCGGCACCGGCCCGGGAGGGGACGAGGGTTTGCCAGGCCCGGGGCGGGCGGGGAGGCCTCGGGGAAGGGGGGGCCCGCTCCTCAGGCGCCGAGGCTTCGAAGCTTCGGCTCCCGGCATCTGGGCGATGGGCTCTCTGTGAGACTGGTCCCCTCGGTGGGGGCGCGTGCGGCAGGAGGCGGCTGCCGAGTGACCGGAGCCGGGCCGCGGCCCTCCCTCGCCCTGCTCAGCCCCTCCCACCCCTGTGCCCTGGGGCTGCCACCGCCCGGGCGTCTGAGCTCGTCCCTGCCGCGCGGTGCCGCCGCCCTCAGGGCCTAGCCCGCCCTGCTCGGCGAGCGGCGGGACTTGAGCGGTCGTCGCATCCGCAGCATCCGCCTCGCCTCACTTCACCTCACCTCGCCTCGCCTGGGTGCCCGCTCCCCTCGCCCTGCCCCTCATGACTGCGGCGCCTCTGCTGCCACAGCCCTGCCGGCCGCCGCGCGCCGCAGGATGGATGCGGACCGTGCGGCGCTAACCCCCGTGGCTCTGCACCTGAATCTCCCGCCGACGAGCCCGCCTCGTGAGCCGCAGCAGCTTCGGTGCCAGCAGCCGCCGCCGCAGCTGGGCCCAGAGTCCCGTGTCGCCTTCGGGGCTCCTTGTCAGTGTTGAGTGGGGAGTCGTCCGGTCCGGGTCGCTCCGAACCCGCTGTAGGAGCGGTGCCCTGCAGACCTTCGCGGCTCCTGCGGGTGGGCCCTTCCTCTTTTCATTCTCCTATCCAGCCGCTCGCCTCACCCAGCGGACCAACCATGTCTGGCGGCGCCGCAGAGAAGCAGAGCAGCACTCCGAGCTCTCTGTTCCTCTCGCCGCCGGCGCCAGCCCCCAAGAATGGCTCCAGCTCTGATTCCTCTGTGGGCGAGAAACTGGGGGCCGCGGCGACCGATGCTGGAACTGGTAGGACCGAGGAGTACCGGCGCCGCCGCCACACTATGGACAAGGACAGCCGTGGGGCGGCCGCCACCACTACCACCACCGAGCACCGCTTCTTCCGACGGAGCGTCATCTGCGACTCTAATGCTACTGCGTTGGAGCTGCCTGGCCTCCCTTTCTCGATTCCCCAGCCCGGCGTCCCCGCGGTTGTTCCGCAGATTGCTCCATCAGAGCCCCACCGGGAGGAGACCTTGACTACTACCGCCGTTTCCCAGGTGGCCCAGCAGCCCCTAGTCACTGCTGCCCCTGGAGAACAAGCTGTCGCGGGCCCTGTCACCTTGACTGCCCCAAGCAGTACCAGCAAAGACCGCCCAGTTTCCCAGCCCAACCTCGTGGGGAGCAAAGAGGAGCCACCACCGGCGAGAAGTGGAAGTGGTAGCGGTGGTGGCAGCGCCAAGGAGCTGCAGGAGGAACAGAGACAGCAACAGGATGATATCGAAGAGCTGGAAACCAAGGCCGTGGGAATGTCCAATGACGGCCGCTTTCTCAAGTTCGACATCGAAATCGGCAGAGGCTCCTTTAAGACAGTCTACAAAGGTCTGGACACTGAAACCACTGTGGAAGTCGCCTGGTGTGAACTGCAGGTAAAGCCCCACCTACTTCTTTATTTTTATGGCCCTTGGATCCCAAACTTGGCTCTGTTCAGCCAGTTTATCGAGTTCACCCTTTACGTGTAATTCTGTTTGAGTGGAGAGGTGAGGCCAACTTTGGAAAGGAGTTGAAATTGGGAGAATGTGAAGCATGTACCTAGGTGTTTAAAAAGGTAAAAATTTTTGATATAGGAATTTGTTAGTAGACAGGAGGTGAAAGTCAGTATAAATATATGATTTCCTTGTTATTGGTTAAGTGTCTGGCTGGAAACTTGGAATTAATAGGGAAGTTTTTGAATTAGGAAAGTACCGAGTCTTCTTGCCCTGTGCATTTCAGTTTCATCAGAGCCTCTGTAGGGATGACCTGCCCTGTGTTTGAAGTCCTTATGTTAGAGGTGGTGTTTTCATTCCTGAGACCAGGTTGTTTTTTTAGAATAAAAGGGACCTTGTTCTTTTGAATATATCTTACTTGTTGGCTTCACAGACATTTAGTAAAAAGTAATTGTGAAGACTGTCTTTGCTCCTTTGGAATTTGTGCTCTGGGACTACTAAGATACAGTTATGTTTTTGCTATTGCTCTACCTAATGCTCTTTAAGATATATGGTAGCTGGCAGTAATCTGAATGTTGATTAAAAGGAATGACGTTAATTCATTTACTCTACAATAGCCATGCAAAATTGTGTCAGTGCTTTGAGAACTGTAATGTTATCATCGCCTTAATCTTATTATAAAATATTTTTAAGCTAAACTTTTCCAAGAATTCAAAGGAATTACTAATGCTTCCCTTTTTTTAACACCCTAGGGAGGTTTTCCTGTTAGATAATGACATGTCATTCTGATGGACAAGTGTATTCTAGGTTTAAACGCTGGGTTACTTGTTGCTTGACATTTGTAGCACCTTGCTTTGACTGTTGTGCTCACAGGGGAGTGAACACAGACTATTGATAGAAGCAGAATTTCACTGAAGGAAAAGTTATAATCTACGGTATACATGAAAAATGCCATTACCCATATTCTTCTTGCCAAGACAGTGGACCAAGCTGAAATAGGATAGGAAAGTACCTGCATGATCTTGAAACTTCATGTTAATACTTAATCTTTTGAATGTCAGTTTCCAACTGACCAAGGCCATATCAAGCGTGAAAGAAAGGTAACACAGCATATGGAAGTAAACTTAAAAACTGACAAGTTCTTTAAGACCATAGTAATTTCTTTCTTTCTTTTTTTTTTTTTTTTTTTTGTGGTACCAGGTATTGAACCCAGTGGCACTTAACCACTGAATCACATCCCCAGTCCTTTTTTTTTTTTTAGTTTTTATTTAGAGACAGGGTCTCATTAAGTTGCTTAGGGTCTCAATAAGTTGCTGAGGGTAGCTTTGAACTTAAATTCTCCTGCCTCAGCCTCCCAAGCCATGGGGATTACAGAAGTGCATCACAATTTCTTAAATTATGTATTTGATATGGAACTTCTAAGCATTGTGAAGTAAAAACAACTTATTAATTTTATAGTGGTTTAGAGTTTGAAAGGTAACAGACTTTTTTTTTTTTTTTGTACCAGGGATTGAACTCGGGGGCACTCAACCACCAAGCCACATCCCCAGCCTTATTTTGTATTTTATTTAGAGACAGGGTCTCACTGAGTTGCTTAGCACCTTACCACTGCTGAGGCTGGCTTTGAACTCTTGATCATTCTGTCTCAGCCTCCAAAGCCACTGGGATTATAGGCATGTGCCTTCACTCCCGGCTGTGCCACCTTGCCTGGCAATAGGCAGACTATTTTCTAGAAAAAGCCTGTCAAACTATATTCCTATAGTTAGTCAGACTCAAAAACTTAGGTCTGATTTCTTTTGGTGTTCAGGTAAAAATTTACAGGACGACATCTGTTTCTTTTTTGTACCAAGGATGCTAATCATCTGGGAATTTATTCTGTTATAATTTTATATTTCAATAGGTAATTTTTAGTGATTTTTGTTTCCTGTTTTAAAAGATTGGACCCAGTGAAATGTTGGGCATGTTATGGATTAATTTTGTTAATTTCAATTATTTCACTTTTAAGCCTTCACACAATGTGTATTTTCGCTTTATCATCTGGAATTTTCTGATAGTTTATTGTCTTAGAACTAATAATACAGGGCAAAAAAAATCGCCATTGACTGATGTCACAATGAGAACTGTCTAAGTGTCTCAGTTTTTCTAAGAACTCAAAACTTCTTGGATTTTTTAGTTTTTTATCTAGGCAGAGCATAATCAACCTAAGGAAAATCTTACATCACATAATAATTTTAAGCCAGTTTAGGATTTGGCTGCAGAACCAAATGCATCCTAGCTCATTGAGTGGTACCTTGGTTTAGAAACTTTCATGTCATTTTGCTTTTACAATTTTTCAATTTGTGCTACATGATTATCGTAGCCCAGGAATTCTTTATAACAGTAGTTGGGCAGTATTTTTATTTTTCTTGACCAGGATACTTGCAGTACATGCCTAATAAAGTATCAGTAGGTCAGTGTTTGAATTTTTGACTTTGGGTCTGAATTAAAGGACAAGCCAAAAGATTACTAAAACATTGGGAAGAAAGGAAAGCTTTTCACTAAATGTATACTTTTAACATGTTTATTTTTCTATAGCAAGACAAGGAAAATATTGTGTTTAGTTGTTAAATTAAAATTTTTAATTTTTAACTGGGAGAGATGGTGCATGCCTTTAATCCCAGCAGCTCCGGAGGATTGTAAGTTTGAGGCCAGCCTTAGCAATTTAGCAAGGCCCTAAGCAACTTAGTGAGACCCTGACTCAGAATAAAAAATAAAAAGGGCTGGGGATGTGGTTGAGCCCTTTGGTGTTCAATCCCTGGTTTTAAAAAAAAAAAAATCTTAGTGTATTGAACCTGGAAGAAATTTTAGGTTATCATGCCCAACTAGGTCATAGAGTATACAAATAGACTGATGACAAGCAAAAATTAAACTGGTTAGGATCTAATAATTTAGGAGATGTTAAAACATTTGTAGTCCAAAAATGGTTAATAGTAATTTCAAATGAATAAATATTATTTTGATGTAGAAGGGGCTGTAAATTTCTAGAGAATTCTGGTTACTTAACATTTCAGGCTTTTGTTTGGGGTCTTCCTTTTTTTATTATTGTTTTAGTTGTAGATGGATAAAATATCTTTATTTTTATTTGTTTTTATGTGGTGCTGAGGATTGAACCCAGTACCTCACATATTAAAGGCAAGCACTCTACCACAGAGCCACAACCCCAGCCCTGGGTATTGCTTTCATCACTTTAAATGGATACACACACACACACACACACACTTTGGGGGATGAGTGAGTGTGGTACAAAAATCAATCTACTTTCTGTCAAGCTATTTTTAGAGTTATGGTATGCGTAATTATATAGTAAATCATCAATTCTTTTTCAAAAAAAGTATGTATTTTTTAGTCGTACATGGATAATACCTTTATTTTTATGTAGTGCTGAGGATTGAACCCTGTGCCATACACTTGTTAGGCAAGCACTCTCCCACTGAGCTATAACCCCAGCCTGATTCTTTTTTTTTTTTTTTTTTTAATATTTATTTTTTAGTTGAAGTTGGTCAAAATACCTTTATTTTATTTATTTTTGTGTGGTGCTGAGGATTGAACCCAGGGCCTCATGTGCTAGGCGCATTCTACTGCTGAGTCACAACCCCAGACCTCTCATCAATAATACCCAGATAATACTTTGATACTTCAGTAATAACTGAGATGCTTTGAGTGAGATGTAGATTTCTTTACCTGGATTTATTAGGCAAATGGTATTCCTTAATTTTAATTTTAATACCCAGTTGCCATGGTCAGAAAATGTTACTGCTGGGTTGTATCATATACATTTCTTTTCTAGAGAGGGATGTCATTTAAAAAAAAAAAAAAGCCAGTAAATTTGCTTTAAGGAAACATTAATATACAGATTTAAGAATAGTTTGTTTATTTAAATATACTTCCCCAGTTTGCCACTAAATAGTGAGTTTACTTGATGCAGTATGTGTTTCCAGATCTACCTGAAAGGGGAAGTCAAATCATAATTTTTGCTTATACTTGAGCACTAAGTAGACCTTAGTGATTACTTTTTTCTCTGGCTTTTAAGTTAAGGTTCGTGTCTATTGAGTGTATGATCTCAATGTTTTATGAAAAGTTTAGTAGTACTACAGAAATGGGAGATGGTTCTGTGACTCAGAAAATAATTTATGGGGCTGGGGGGCTGGGGATATAGCTTGGTTGGTAGATTGCTTGCCTAGCATGTATAAGGCTCTGGGTTCAATCCCCAGCACCATCTTTTTTTTTGGTACTGAGGATTGAAGTCAGGGCACTTCACCATTCAGGTACATCCCCAGCCCTTTATTTCATTTTTAAAAAATTTTTATTTATTTTTTAATTTTGAGAAAGGGGTTTTGCTGAGTTCCTTAGGGCCTAACTAAATTGCTGAGGCTAGCCTTAAACTTGGGATCCTCCTGTCTCAGCCTCTGGAGTCACTGGGAATACAGTGTTGTTGGGATTACAGGCATGCTCCATTCGGCCCGGATGTACTATAGTTTTTAAAATAAGTCATTGAATGGAATCTCCCTATTTGAATATTGAAGGATTTTTGTTCCACATTACTTTTTAAGTTTGTGCTGTATTCCTTATTTTTTAGAGTGAGAATCTGTAGTAACTTGCAATCCTGGGAACTACATTTGAGTTTGTTTTTTAAGTTTTGAAACTCACTGATTAGGAAGAAGTACTGGCAAAATTCAGATCACACCTTTACCTTTAAGTAAGGGTAGCTACTGTACAAATTAAAGAATGGTGATTTATTGGGGCTGGGGTTATGGCTCAGTAGTAAAGCGCTTGCCCAGGTGCTGGGTTCAATCCTCAGTACCACATAAAAATAAATAAATGAAATGGAGGTATTGTGTCCAACTATAACTAAAATAATAATAATAAAAAAATTGGTGATTTATTTTAAATAACCCTTTATTCTT